CGCCTATGTTTGCGAGAAAGCCGTTCTAGGTTATTCCACCTATGAAAGCGGAAGTGTGTTTTCAACCTTGCAACTCGGCTCTTTTTCAAAATTACGGTAAGTCCAGATAGGTGTTTGCTTGTAGCTGTAATAGCCTAAGAAAATACCGGAACTATCTTATGGCATCTTCTGCGAACTAATATTGTCATAGTCGATAAATCTGAAGGACTACTTTGTAGTGAATCACAATCACATTTTGGTTGTTCGCGAAGAGCCACTGCTCGAACTGTTTGCAAATGGCGCACAATCGGTCGACTGGTGGGAATAATCATGCAGGCCATCCACTCTTCTCCACCGCTAAACACCGAGTTAAGTGGTGACGAGGTCGTAAGATATTCCATACCACATATGCATTCCATATATTGAGATCTTTCATCTGAGTCACAAATTTTAGGCAATCAATGGAACAATTATTAAATTGTGGAGGAGAAAGTGAGAAACAATGAAAGATTTGAAAAAATGTTGGAAAAAAACCAATGAAAAAGTAACATAATTTATTCATAGAGTATTCAATAGCAATATATTAATCTAAAATTTCTGCGTAAAACCCACCTTGTAGCGCTTAAAATGTTTTGTTTTCGATGCCAATGTAGTATTCATCATTCTTCAGGGAATCGACGTACGCCTTTTCGCTACTGTCTTTGGGAGAATAGAGTGCTAAAAGCAAATGATACACGGAAAGTCGATATCCATTACGAGCCCTCAGCAAAAAGACCAAAATAAGTATCTTGTCCACAAGAATCATTTTGGAAAAATTTCTGAAACAGAAATCCTTGAAAGATTTGATCGCTTGTCTTTTCCTTGTGTCGAAGAAATCTCACCGTTAGAATGGGACTATCGTTTTGCACTATTCTCTTGCCAACCAGAATTTCATTTTCGACTTTGTGCAAAAGAAGATGGATCGCCTTCTATATGTGGATTCACTGAAAAACGCCAAGCAGTGAGAATGAGAACGATAGAAGCGACAATGAATACAATTGACTCTAAGCGAAATACAACCACAACGTTGCTGAGATATTTGCAAAACTCTGGACCACAGGTGTCTATGGTGGGGAACGAACGCGTTATTGTCCTTTCCGGGGAGTAACGCGTTCACCACCACACCATGCGGGTGCTTCGTTTCGCCTGTCTCTCAGCTATTTCTATCGATCTTTTTGCCACAGCAATCACCCGTCAGCGGGGTTGATCTGGGGAGCGCAAATCGGGATAGAAACCAGTTAAGCTATGGCTGTAGTTGAAATCACAATGTTTAACGTTTTGTTTAAAAAAAAAACAAAACGTTAAACAATTGACCCTATTCAACTGCTGTAATTTATACACTCTGTGGATGAATTCAAACCTACAGAGAAAATTAAATGTTGTTAGAGTAAGACTTAAAGGACGGAAAAGGAACGAAGCATATATTTGGACCGCTAAAGAGGTGACAAGTTCGCGGCACCATTGCTTGCCTAGCAAGCAAGATACTCAAAAACTTAGAAGAATGTCTCACACTGTAGTCTCCGACTGAACAGCAAATGCTTCCCATGTAAAAAGAGATTTAAATCAGAATGTTTAAAATGTCTTCAACATACCCACTATTGATGGTCTACTCGATTATGTGAAAAGATACTTTCTGAGCCTACGGTTATATGGTCAAATGGCACTTCTGAGGTATAAACGACACGCTGCAGTGACATAGCAGAAGATACCACATGAAAAGATGCTCTAACAAAACGGAACTACACAGCAGCATAGGCCACCGCACTATGTGGATCAATCCAATGGAGGAATAAAGCAGAAAACAAAAAAACTGCAAAAACCTTCCAAAAATCCGAGGATAAAGAGCAGGAAAATGCCCTGAGATAACGTGTGATCTAGCCCCGTATCTCAGAATGGTTTTTTGACGTGGGCTGGTCAACCATATGCGACTCTAAGCGGCTGTTCTTCCTTGGTGGAAGGCAGATGAAAAACGCTGGGTTTTTCGAGAAGCCGGTGATCGTGTAATTATTGTTCAGATTTTCACTTTTCTGTTTGCGTTGTTGAAGCGTTTCACCTAGTAAATTTCATATTAGTGTACCCTTCCAGGCTCTGAAAAAGGCGATACTGCAGAAACGTCAGCTACCGTTGTGTTGTACGTGTTATATTTGTGAGGAAGTAAACGTGTGCTGAATAACACCCTCGCGATTGCTGTAAAAGAACAGATTTATAATCCAATGCCGAGGTTAATAGTAAGTCGCTCGTGGGAACTGTTAAAAAAACTGCATGTGCAACTTTCGATTTCCTACGCAAAACTATCGACTAACTAATAAGGTTGCAGAGCTTAAATTCGAAAACTAGCCTAGCACTTCGATATCACTGATAGTTGTGTGAAACATCCATAGGACTTTCAATGAGATCAGGCCAGTGCATGTAATAAGCTGTGTGTTGAAATCGGCAGATCTAACAACAAAATGGCTAGTTTCCCATTCGGTAACGTAAATTAAAGGGCCAGTCGGCCAATCCTGAGATAAGAGAAAGACAAATTAGGACAAGAAAGAATCCTTACGTTAGAAAATGGACCTCTTATAATCCTGCAATACAATTACGCTCAACCAGCCACTGAACTGGATGCAGTTTTAGATGGTCGCATCCCACCGATCTTATCTACAAATAAATAACCACCTCTATGGACGACAGCAGCGAGAAAAAAAGAAATAATGTCGAACCAAGCGGAGTCAAAGAAGACGAGATATTTGTTTTCGTAAATAAAATTTTGACGGATACGGTAGCGTTCTTTTTTGATATGAGGTTTGAAAAAATCATTCCAAAATATTCAGCCCCTTGCTGCTTTTAAATGCTCTACATCTCGGCTATTCACGTTGCATTTTTGGAACTGGCAAAACTACAAGAACAACAAGAAAGTGTATCAAACTAAATGGAACGTCAATACGGCTTTTTTTTGAATTGAAGGCTTTACACCAGCCAAATAGTAAAATTTTTCACGACGGTTTTTAAAATCTTTTAAGCTCCACACGTCATCACGTTCAGTGCCGCACTTCTCTCATTCGATTTCTAACCTTGCATTCTTCACTGTCTGATGTTTTCTGCTTTGCCTGTAACTTCGGCCACTAGTTGAGGGGTTGAGTGTTCTTTATTAATGCTGGTGAATTGTGGTCTAGTGGATTTTTCCTGAAATCCTGGGTTAGTCGTCCTAGGGCGCTACCAATTCTTTACTACAACGAGTCGCCAGACTTTCTGAATAGAAGAATTTGATGGGCTAGTTAGACTTCGATCGGCTTTTGAATTGCTTATAAAGCAATTTTCTAATATTTTAGTTGTTTCACAAATTTTAACCACTTTGACGATCATTTTACAGACTCAAATAATGCATTTTTCACAACAATGATGCATATGCGACCAAAAGAAAAAAGCGCCTCCCACCGACTTTCCGCCTCATCGTGGCAGGGAGGTGTTCCTGGGTGTCAAGCTGCCATGTACAGCAGGATATTCATTCCCACAGCAGTGTCTCCGAAGTTGAGAAGGAGTTTAGTATTTCCATCAGGAAGCGCAGCTAACATTAAACCAACACTAGGATCCACCGCTGTCCTGGTAGCAAACTAGTCGCATGCTGGCAAATTTCGCTCTGACCCACAAGGGCGCCGACTGCCTGTGGTGGTGATGACATAGAGAAGAATTTGTCCTCCCTGACTTCTGACTTCCAAGGAACCACAATGGCCAAACAGCAAAACTCCGAAAAAATGGAAATTATGCGGAAGCCCGCACACCCAGTGAAAACGGGCCATACAAATATCTAAGTAAGAAAAAAGCAAGAAGTAAGCTAAACGTACACTTGCGGTTTTCCGATTCTATTAGATCACTTATCCATGCTCTAAGGTTTATATCTGAATCACACAACAATACTCTAAAACTCAACCTTTTCAATCAGCAAATTCGTCGCTCTTTAACGGTAGTTTGGACTTTTCTGTTATTATCACCATATCAAATTGAAGATGCTGTTCAGTGAATGCATCTGCAGTATATTCACCTTTTCAACGAACCGCTTCAATTAAAGAAAGAAGTCGGTCACTAAGAAGCGTTCGATGAAAGATAACTGTTGCGATACAAGAAAACCACGTGAGAATGCTTTTAACTTGGGTCTTTTCTAATCGGCATTTGTTTAACATTGGACGATGCTGCTTCTGTAGAATAACATCCTGTTGATTTGTGTTACTTTTGATGTCTAGTTAGCAAAGGCGTTGGGTAGCATGTAAAATGCGTAGCTTCCGTACATTGTTTTTTAGAGTTTTCCGTTAATCCTCATAAACTTCGATGATAGCACAAGCAGTGAATATTCAGAATGTATCTGCTAATTGCATGTAACCACATATATATATATATATATATATATATATATAAACATATGAGCGCCTGTTGTGCACTAGTCGGAAGTGCCCTGCAATACACGTGGGTTCAATTGCTGCCCCGCTCGCCCATAAAGCCCTCTATCCTTCTAGGTACAGCAAATTGGTACCAGACTCGTCTGAGAGGATAGCAGCACTGGCTCTATACATCGGTAGGCGAGCGCGAGTCATTGTAAAGACCAGACATGCATTCAATGCCCACCAGACGATGCCTAATGAAGTCGATTGTATAACGCTTCCCTAAAGGATTGATGAACGCTGAGAGCTTTAGAGAGCTTTCTGTGTACACGTATAGACATATATGTGTACGTTTGTGAATATATATGAAGGTTTATATACACATGTGCGTATGCATGCGGATATATCTGTTACACATGCATATATCTGTGTGTATGCACGTATATGTATGCATGTATGTACATGCAATATAATATCATTTAAAAACACCTGTATCACCTGTATTACTTGTAGTCCCGTTGATCGTCGAATGACTCGAGTAGGCGCCAGTAAATCCCACATTTTTCCCTGTCGCGCGCAAGAGCAACCCAGTGGGTTCTGCTCGCTCTAGTGACACGTCGAGCATCATATCTTTACCCTTTTATTTACTGCCTTTTTCTTTTTAATGTCAGGGTATGTTGCGAAATATAACTCGTATGTAATGCCGAGATATATAGAACTAGCTGAGAGACAGGCAAAACGAAGGACCCGGATGGTGTGGTGGTGAAGTGCGCTGCTCCACGGTAAGGACAACAGCGCGTGTTCGTTCTCCACCGCATACACCTGCGGTCCGGAGTTTTGCAAATATCTCAGCATTACATGCGCATCATACATTTCTTCAAGGTTCTTTGTGAAGAACTCTGACCATCGAGTCGGTAGTCTTCCTGCAGTAAGTTTAACATTCCGAGGAATCCAGTCACCAACGTCTCCTGTCCATCGGTTGCCATTCGTACGCATTACGTGTCCGGCCCTCCTTATCTTCGACTGTTTGGCGTGCACAACGGCATCTTTCATTTCTGATCGTTGACGCAGGTCGGAGCTTCGGATCCCATCCCTTACTTGTGTGAAACGGAATACTCCTAGCATCGTCTTTCGACCATGCTTTCAACAACGTTGAGCGATCTTTCATCCTGCTTGCAGCGGCTAGGTTTCACACGCATACGTTAAGGCAAGAAGTACCATTGAGTCGAAAAGGTGGGCACGAAGTGACTACTTCTATCTCAATTGAATCAAAGGCCTTTTGTAGATCGATGAAGGTGAAACAGAGCCGTCTTTTATACTCTCGCGATACTTCAGTGAGTCTTGTTATCGTGTGGATGTGGTCCATCGTACTAAATCCTTTCGAAGCCCTGCTTGCTCATATAGCTGTCGTTCGTCCAGTGTTTTGTCAATCCTGTTTAGGATGACTCGAGTGAGAAGTTTGCAGACGACAGACAGCAAGTAGACTGGGCGATAGTTGCCAATGTCGTGCAGGTCACCCTTCTTGAACAATAACACGGTCATGCTGGTCTTGCACTGAATAGGGACTTGCATTCAGACAAGTAACGTGCGAAGAGCAGAGCCAGCGTGTTTACGAGAGCTGGCGGAAGCTTCTTCAGGTGCTCTGTCTTATTCTCTCTGGACCTGGTGCTGTTCGATTTTTCACCGACGAAATGGCATGTCGGATTTCGGAAGGGAGAACCGTTGGTATAACATATCTATCCTCCTTTATTTCATATGACGAAAGATGGACGTGGCTATCGAAGAGATCAGAGCAGTATTCGTGAATGATTTTCTTCATTGCCTTTCTGGACGCTGTAACTGTTCCGCCTGGACAGCGGAGTGCAATTATTTTGGCCTTGTAATTGGCAAAGCTTCCATATGCTTTACGAATGCTTTTCCCAGCCTCTGCACCTTTGACCATTACTGCTGCTCTTCTTTCTTTAAGATCTCCTTTTATCGCCGGTCTGCAGTTTTCCAAGTTCGAAAGTTAGTTCGCGGTTGCCTGCAGCTCGTGAGATTCCACGCCGGCGTATTAGCTCGAGTGTTTCTGGTGACAAGGGTCTTTTGGTGACTTTCGAACTCTGAGTTTTCATAGTGCTAACGAGAAGATGTTGAATGAGCCGATCGTATTCTTCATCGATGTTATCGACAACGGCATTTTCCCAACAGCCGACTAAAGAATTGAATAAATCGCAGTTCACGGTGGTTTTGCGGCTTCGGTTTTTGAATTTAGCGGCTTTTCCTCCTTTCCGCAAAAAATAGAACCTTGCACGAAGGAGACGGTGGTCTTATCCTGTGTAGAATTTTGGGACAACGGTAACATCGGTTAGGCAAAACCTTCTATTCACCATGATGTGGACTATTTCGTTATGACACTCTCCATTGGGAGACTCCCACGTCCAGCGTTGAATGTGGAACTTCTGGAATTGCGAGTTACCATAGATGGTCTTAGTCGCCATGATAAACTCAGATAGCTGCTCACCCTGTTCGTTTCATTCTAATCCATGGGTCCCAATGTGCCGTTCTTCAGGCATTCTGCCTTGGTCCAATGTTGGAGTTGAAGTCTCCGATGATGACCTTGAAGAATGTATGGTCTTCCCTGTAGAACTTCTCCAAGTCAATATAGAACGCTTCGACTTCTTCTTCGTCATGGTTTGATTTCGGCGTGTAAACGACAAAGATTATCAAAGCCGGTATTGGTTCACATCTTTTTAGTCGTAAACGTCCGATTTGGGTTGTAAGTTGTTCGAATAAATCGATGTCCATGGACAAACTCGTGTTAACGAGAACGCCGACGCCGCCGACTTTACTGTCGCATGTTCCCAGGAACAGTCCTTTTCCTGTGTCATAGACGGCGTTGAATTGGTGGCATCGTCTCTTCTCGGCCAGGCCGATGACGTCGTATTTTATCCTTCTTAGTTGCACGAACAAGTTTCTTATGGAGGACTCGTATGCAAGTGTACGGGTATCGTAAATACAGATCGTCACCATAGTTCTTTGTAATCCAGGCAACTTCCGTTGTCCCTGAGATTTTAGCAGCCTCTCCATACTCATCCTACCCAACACTGCGAAATTTGAGGCTCTTTTGGGTCAGGGGAATGAGGCCCGTTTTTTTTAACTGTGTTTACCATTTTGATACCTACGTGTAGCTTGCTGTGCTTTGACGGTGGAGGCTGGGTATACTCACGGACTGCTTGCCAGGCTCTCCCAGAGTGAACATGGAGCTTATTTGTTCGAGGTGACTCTTAACCGCCTCCCATATACTTCCCAGTCACTTCATTGCAGACTTTTAGCCGAATTGACTCGAAGAATACAATGCGCGTAAGCGAGATCGCACCCACACACGCATGCATGAATACGCCTCTCAAACACTGAAAGTACGTGCCAAATCAGCGCAGCAGAAACAGGAAGTCCATCCCCTGGATCCACCTGCGTCTCATAGAATCAAAGGTCGCTTTTGGTCCTCGATTAAACCTCTAACAGCCACCTGAGGCCGCCCCACGTATCCTCACGACTAACCGGCCCGAGGTCCCTTTTTGTGAGAGAGATCCGTGGATTTGAAACTAAAAGAGAGCGCTATAGTTGTATATTCTTATGATGAACTAGTTTGAAAATTCATCTTCACGAATAGTGCAGGCTTTTCCCAATTTCTATTGTATTCACGTTTTACTGGCGATATACTTTGGAGTTCAAGTTCAACCCACACGTTAGGGTTATTTAATGTCGTCAACACAGACAGGTTTTCTCTCTTAACAGATCGGATGAAACTTTGCGGCCTTGCAATTAAGTTTCATACAGGGCAGTGCTGATGTCTGTTAAATGTTTATTCCTAGCTGGACTTTCCATACAACTGTTGCAATCTTTATCAGCAACGGTGACTGTGCTGAGAGTAAAACGAATACTGTGCTTAGCCCCACGACAATGCTTCTGAGCATTATCTTACCAAGATGTTGGAGTTCAACATAAAACATGGTTATTATGTTATGAGGCTTGATTTTAAATTCCTGGTTTGCGAGATCATGTTGATTAGTAATACCGGGGTTAAAGCAAAGTTGGTTTTGAAATATTGTTTTTGTTCTTTGCCAGCTGATAAACGACACCGACTTCAGAAGGATTGATAGCCGGGAAAAAACAAGTCACTATCACATCTGAAGACTGAGACGCGAACTAGAATGTTTTTACTACTTGGCTTGCGATACCACTTTGTTACATAGCCACTTACTGAAAGCTTTATTTGGATGTTTAAGAATGGAAGCCAGTTCTCGGTAGGTTTTTCTCGTGTAAATTTTATATACTCTGACTGTCGGTTTAATAATTCAAAGCACTCATCAATCTGTTCTTGTGTGGAACAGACGATGAAGCAGTCGTCTATGTATCGACAGTAGAGTAAGAGTCGGTGATCGAGAACTGGAGCTTCCACCTTAGACATGAAAGCGATGGCAAGGCTTGGTGCAAAACGATGCCCCATCGCCAACCCTCTAATTTGTGCAAAATATTTTCCAGACCACCTAAAGATTGAACAACTAAGACACTGTTTTAAGAGGGTCATTAGTTGTGCAATCGACAAGCCGTGCATTTTTATTTTCTTTTCATGCTCTACGAGCAACTCGAGAATGGCTTGCATTGCGGAGTCATTGGACACGTTGGTATAAAGTGAACTCACATCTAATGACTCCATTATATGCGTGCTGTCAAAAACCTCAACGCGTAAAACTCTTGAGGCGTTTTGGATAAATTTCAAAAATCCAAAGATGAACTGGAAGGACGAGTCTCACTATCACGCGTGACCTAGTGCCCTATTTCAAAATCATTTTCTGACTCCGGGGTGTGTCTTGCTCGCGACTCCACGAAAACAACGCGTGGGCCAGTCTCGCACGTAACATCACGGTGAGTGGGCTTTATGTTCAATATGGCGTCTATTTGACAGTTTGGTCTTCATTAACACTTTAACCTTTTTTTCCACCGAATAATAAAAATATTCTAATATAAAATACGTCCAGGCTCTGAGGAAGGCGATGTCGCCGAAACGTCAGCCATCGATCAATAACATCAAAAACAACGACAACGACAACGAAGATCTGTACCAATCTCGCGTCAGCTTAAAAAACACGAAGATTTTCATACAAGGAGAAGGATCGTATACACATTTCGGTGCTAGCGATTTTTAATGAACTTCTTGAGAGCATAATTTTGAGTGGAACCATTTGGGGCACAACAACAACAATAATGGACAATAATATGTTTCCAACCAACTGGAACGTCGATAAGGCTCTTTTCTTTGAAATGCGGGGATCACATAAGCTCGGCCAGTAAGGTTTTTCGTGATTTTCCTCTTGCCTATTTTTTAAATATTCTTTCCCTACGAGGCATTACGTAACATACGGCATTTCTCTCATTTGGTTTATAACATTGCATTCCTTGTTGTTCATGTTTACGGATTTCTACATAAGTTCCCCCATTAGTTGTGCGGTTAAATGTTTCATTAATGTCGTTCAATGCTGTTCTAGTGTTCTTTCTGAAGTCCGGGGTAGTCGAGCTAGTACGTTGCCATGTTTCCACCACAGGAAGTCGCAGGCTTTATGGGCTCGACGGACCACTGAATGAAATCAAACGTTGATTGATTTTTGGTTAGTTTATAGAGCAACTTTTTCGTACTTTGGCTGCCTCAGGAAATCTCACCTATTTGACGATCTGTTTACAAGCCCAAATGGTGCATTTTTCACTCCAATGACGCATACGCGACCATGTGAAAAGTGAAAGAATTAGGCTTAGTATGCATTTGTTCCTTTCTGATTTGGTTAGATTATTCATCCATATTTTCAGCATTATAACACTGTAATGGTCGTGCAGTACTGTATTTCTGTATTGATACGTATTTACCCTTGACTATACTTATTTGGAAAGGTCAAATTGAGATGCGATCTACGCAGCCAAACACTTTTATAATCCTAGTAGATAAAACTTATTCCAGGCTCTGAAGAAGGCGAAACTGCCGAAACGTCAGCAATCGTATCCTAATAAATTCTATAATAACAACCTCGTGTCTGCTAATTGATGAAAAACATTGAATCA